CCTCGGGCACCCTCCCCGGGCCTGGCTCCAGGGCGGGGCCCCGGTAACCCTATCCCGGGCAGGGTAAACTGTTCCCTCGGTGTCCTTTTCATAAGGGTCTTATTTTTTCATAAGGGTCTTCCTGGTCCCTTTGGAGAAAAACAGCCCCAAAGCATGATGTTTCCACCCCCTGCTTCACAGTAGGTATGGTGTTCTTTGGGTGAAACTCGGCATTCTTTCTCCTCCAGACATGACAAGTAGAGTTTTTACCAAAAAGTTCAATTTTGGTTTCATCTGACCATATAACAATCTCCCAATCCTTTTCTGGATCATCCAAATGCTCTCTAACAAACTTCAGACGGGACATTTACTGGCTTAAGCAGAGGGACACGTCTGGCACTACAGGATTTGATTGATTTCTTCACACTAAGCTGCTTACCTTTTGCAGATTCAGTCTTCCCAGCCTGGTGCAGGTCTACAATTTTGTTTCTGGTGTCCTTTGACAGCTATTTGGTCTTGGCAATAGTGGAGTTTGGAGTGAGTCTTTTATGCTGATAAGTTCATACAGGTAACGAGTGGAGGGCAGAGGAACCACTTACAGAAGAAGTTACAGGTCTGTAAGAGCCAGAAATCTTGCTTGTTTGTAGGTGACCAAATACTTATTTTCCACCATAATTTGCAAATAAATTATTTAAAAATTAGACAATGTGATTTTCCGTTTTTTTCATCATTTTGTCTCTCATAGTTGAGGTACACCTATGATAAAAATTACAGGCCTCTCTCATCTTTTTAAGTGGTAGAACTTGCACAATTGGTGGCTGACTAAATACTTTTTTGCCCCAGTGTATATGGACAAGGAAAATTGTTTTCTTTGGTTGTATTCTTAATAACTTATTATCTACCCATTATTAAACATTGCCAACTCAGGTGCTACTGAGTAGCATGAATTAAAAGATATGAAGATTAACAGAAAGCAAGAGATATTCATTCATACTCATAGTGGCATTTTGGAGCCAGCCTCAAGTGTCCATTAGAGGAACTTTAGTATTTGGCACTTTGTTTTCTTCATGGATGACTTTTCTTCAGTCACCAGTGGCTGAAAACTAAAAGTGCACTGGGGGTAGAGTAGGCCCTGAGCACAGAACAAGCAAGAACAATGTGTAGAATCTAAAACCATAGTAAATGCCTGTTGCGCTGATTCAAATTATTTTAACGCAGTGCTCAGGGAGATATCTGGTCTCTGACTCATCCGCAGAAGGAAAGCGACGAGTCCTAACATCCAGTCAGTCTCATAAGTAAAAATAGTGTAAACTATCTTCAGCCACAAGGGGTTCTACAACAGATGGTCTGTCCCCCACAGATGTATTATGTATTATCAACATCATGGAGTCTGTGTGGGACTGATTACATCAAAAGCGACTGAGAGAGCAGAACACAGAACAGCTCTGTGAATTTCTCTAACATGCTGGAACAATCTACCAACCAAAAAACTGTACCTTGAACACTTTGTCTTGTGTAAAAGTAGTTAAAGGCTGTTTTGTTTTGTTTTGTTTTGGGGTTTTTTGGCCTTTCCATAATGTCACTGATGAACAAAAACATTAAAAAAAACATTTTCAGTCTTCTTTTTGTTTCTACTACCTATAACAGCACTGAATCCATTATTTAATGCTCAAGACTGACATTATTAAACTATAAAACTATAGTTAAATTATAAAACATCACCCATTTATCTATGTAAACTGTGCATATGAAACTATACATGAAACTATATGAAAATTATACATAAACACTGTGAAAAACAGTCATATAGGAACTGACCTTGCATGCTGTAAGTGGGACTCCACTCAGGTCCAGTTCCTGTGTGTCACAGGTCAGCTCTGTGGCATTCCAGTCCACCTCATACTGCTCGCAGGTGCTGTGCTGCACCAGTCCAGAGCTATTGACCAGAGGCACCGTCAGCCTGCGACTGTCTGTCAGGTTCCAGCCGCATGCATGCCTCCTCTCCACCACTGCAGGGTCCCGACACCAATGATCAGGGGTGAAACCCTGGAATACGATGCCGACGTATACCCCTGCAAAGGGCAACGACAAGAGGCAGAGCAGGGCAAAGATTCGCCTCTGACAGCGGCCAAATGACCCGGCTTCTTCCAAGAGGTCATCAAAGGTCATCCTTACTGTCGCAAAGTTTAAGAAATCAAGTCAAATCTTGTTCTGTTCAGCAAACCATGGATCAGTGCAAACTATCAGAGTCCCTTCAGGGGTGCTTAGACCTCGTGCACCTCACACTGGTCGATCCACAAGTCCAAAGGGGCCAGATGAAACACAGCTGGGTAACAGCGTGTTACTGTTTAATAAAGTCAAACACAGGAAGAAAGCAGGATTATGCAATCATTAAATGTATGTCTTCTTAAGGAATGCTTGAATGGCCTTAGCTTCAATATTTATGCACGATCATCACATCACATGACACGGATGGTCAGCTGTCTTTTATTTTTCTAAGAAAATGGTGTGACGTGTATTAACTACACAATAAAAATGACTGTGTTTGAATCACTCTGCCTCCATCCACTGTATTCCTGGAATTTGTAAAAAAAAATAAAATGTATATATAGAACAGTGTTACATTAAACAGTACATATTTATTTTCTCGTATTAACCGAAATCAAAGAAGTTTATAGAATTTAGAGAAAAATTAACTTGATTAAAAGAAGTTGAGCAAATCAGAGAAATCTCTGTCTGGCCTTCTTCACCTTGGAGCAGCTGCTCTGTGCCCGACTCTGTGTTTAGGCCGAGGGACCGTGGATAAATACACAGACATGTTTGTGGATATTGTTGTAAGTGCATTTATTGACTTCAAGGCATTCACAACCTGCTAACCCCAAAGTTTAACCTTCACAACTAAGTGCCAAACCCTAACACTAATGTAAAATTAATTCTATCTTACATTATAAAACTAATTCTTCAAAGAGAGACATTTAAAAGACAGCCAAAATATTTTGACTTCTAAAAGACTGACACCTGAAAAACTTTTTATGAATACTTAAAAAATATATTTTCTTCCTTCTATAATTGTTGCATCTTTGTAGTGTGCAGTGTGTGTTATTCAAACTTGACATTGTTACTAATACATCCTGACCGTCATTTTCATTTTCTATGTAGTGATTTTGATCAAAACCACCTTTGAATGGTCTTCATATTAATAAAGGTTATGAGCATTTTCTAAGTCCTTCAGAAAAACCAGGCTTCAGTTAAAGACATGTACATTTCATGTCCTTAAAAATGTTACTATTGTGCAGTGATCTGTCAGTGCATTTATATTAAGCAACTTCTCATCTATTTTCATTGTAAATGGCAGTGTCTGCTATTCCTGCACCACAGTAGAAAGAAACAATGACACACAGTTGATTGTTGACTTTTATGATACAATTAGACTGAAGCTGGAAGCTGCGTGGAGAACCCTGACTTTACTGAAATATCATTATTATTATGAGGGTTTTGATAGGATGTGTTTTTCTTACTTTAACCTTTCTTAGGTAGCATTAGGATCATCATATGATCATATGGTCTCATGAGTTGTCCTCTGTTACATGCTTTGTTGTTCAGAAACATTACTACCATTGTATTTAAGACTTTCAGCTGAATTTACTCAGTCTTGTGTATGTCACATGTAAGGTCAGCTGTTTGTTGTGCTCATGTAAGATTTCTCAACTCTTACTTCTATCATATTTGTAAATTGCTTATATCACAGATTTGAACAAAATTAAATTAAGCCTGATTAATTCCAAAGACTAGGCTGTGTTTCTTTGGTTATAATAAGAAATCGTCTCATCTTCCTAAGTTTTTAATAAAACAGATTTCAAACATCCAGCCAGTTTTAGAAAGATTGCCTCTTCCTGTTTTTGCCTCCACGCCATTATAGACTGTATAGAAAAGATGGACATAGCCAGGAAAGAGAAAGTGTTGGGTTTTTTCCACAGTCTCGAATTCATTATTTGCTGCACAGCAACATCTTGTCAATGATAAAGTAGTCACACCCTATCACTCAATTAATAAAAACTAAACTAAAATTAATAAATAAACACTGCAACCAAACAGAATTCAAAACAAAAAATAATAAAGACACAAAACTATTCTTGCTTTGACTCAAACCTTTAGCCTATATTTTGTTATACAAAAGAGATGAAAGTGAAATATAAATAGAAGATAATAAACCTTTATTAAGATAATAAACCTTTATTATCTTCTTCACATGCACCTGAAGAGTCAAAGTTTCCAAAACTTTACAGGATTGGCCGAAGAATAATTAGTTCAAAAGGCCAGTCGTTACATCTGAGAACAGATAAATTCTTGAGGTGTTACATGCACTCCAGCTGTGTTTCATAACGATGCAGCAGAAAATAATTAAATTGCTGTGTTTTTAATCACATTTTTTTCTTCTGTTTTGCTCCAAAATCTCTCATAAACAAGGATTTCGACCTGCTGCCCTTTTGCTGTCCTTGTCAGGACAATGATTAACTAATAACTGAGCTGTCCTATTGGTCCTCCCAACATGCTAAAAGAAGTCCAACAATAAACCAGGAGGTATCTGATCATATTAGGGTCTCACCATGGACCTGAACACAGCAGCTTTCCTCCTTGGAGCTTTGCTCTGCAGTGGTAAGATATTCATCTTTGAATGATAATTATTAATAAATGTATCATAGCCATTGAAGAGGCAGTTGTTGGATTCACTGTGAGAGTGCCTCATCGATATGTATTAGGAGCTTAAATGCAGAGTTTTTGTTCACACAGCCACATAAATGTAATGGAAACAGGTCAGAACAGACAGCATTGGATAATCAATTTAAAGCTAAAACCTCATGTCTACAACTGATAGATGATGTTAACTGCGGGCTCAAAGCAAAGATGTTTTATATAATGGATGTAATTTCTCTCAGCCCATCTATGGTCTAAAACGACCTTCTTTAGCTGTCTTTTATCTGATTGACTATCTCTTGCAAACAGAAGGTTTGAGTGGAGGTAGGCGGGGCTTCTATGCTAATAGACACACCTGTGTGGCTGTGATGACCAAAATAGAGATATCAACTCTCAATGCCATCATACAGAATGAAAAAATAGAAAAAAGAAAAAAAAATCCTGAAACCTAGTGTTTAGAGGAATCGGAAGCGTGAAACTTTCCTTAGTAGGATCAATTGTAAATACATTGACATCCCCATTTGAAAATTTCGACATGCTTAATAAGAGTATCCACCAGTGTAACTAATAATGTAGACTTTCTGATTCAAGATTAGGTCAAATCAACAAAAGAAAGTGATTTTTCTTAAATTTTTATCCTATCTACCTTAATTACATCCCAGTAATGTAACAGAAGCTTAAATAATTTTGGAAATGTTCAGGCAAACAGCAAAGAATAAGCTAACAAATCAATCAGTTAATAAATAAAGCTTTGGGGGATTTTTTTTTTTTGTGTGTGTGTGTATGATTGCAGTTGGTGCTACTGAGATAGAGGGCTACTCCAGAACTGAAGGGGCATGGATCCTCTCACTGAATAAACGAATGTATTCAGTCAGCACTTTGGCCGAATGTGCTACCAAATGCAACACTGAAACCCTCTTCACATGCAGGTAAGTTCATACCTCACACTCCCAATTATTTTCATCTTGGGTATTAAACAGTGCGCACACACACTACATTTATATACATATGTACTTTTTTTAAAAAACAGGACTTTTATGTATGATGAAAACGACAGCGAGTGCTGGACAGCAGCTGCAAACTCTAAAACAGAGAATATCATGCGCAGAAGAAACACAGCTTTATATGAAAAAAACGGTAATGATCTTCAAATTCCTGATATAAGTGATATAAGACTGAAATGTCTGTTTTTGCATTTTATTTTCTTTGTCTCTGGTGACTGTTCTACTCTGGTTTGTGTGATCTTTTTAGTTTTCCTAACATTGTGGTTAATTTTTAGCCAATGTGTCATGATCAATGATGTTTGGACTGTGTCTGCAAACACAGTGGAGCTGGATTGCAAGTTAAACACTACTGTGGTTCAATCTGATTGAATACAACACAATAGTAGAGTCCTGTTGTTTCTTTTTTCTTTTCTTTTCTAGAATATCTCTTGGAATGCGCAAATGGGATAGGAACAGATTACAGAGGAACAAAGTCCAGAACAAAATCAGAACAGGTCTGTCAGAGATGGGACGCAAGCTACCCACACAGGCCAAAGTATGTATTCAACTGATTTAACTTAACCATTTCTTATCTTTTTATTATTATTTTATTTCTATAGAACATTTAATAACAACAAAATGTTGGCCAAAGTGCTGTGCAGACATAAAAATTGCACAGTAACAAATGACATCAATAACAAATGACATCAATAACAAATAACGAATACCAGGTAACAGATGAGTAAGTAGATAGATAGTAACTCTCATGCAGTGTTGAAAGCCAATGAGTAAAAATGTGTTTTAAGATTGGATTTGAAAAGATTTTTTTTTTCTCTTCTTTCTAAATGACATCAGAAACAGCAGTATGCGACATTACGTGATGGCAGAGCTTCAGTTCATCCTTTGTCATTTTTTTTTTTTTAATAAATAGGACAGGGGGAATGAATGAGAGAAAGAGGGGGAGAGAAAGAAAGAAAACCAAAGGGGAGAAGAGACGGTGAGAAGGGGGGGGAAGAGAGAGAAAAAAAAAAAACAAAAAACTCCTGGGTCACCTGTATGGAGAAAAAAAACAAACAAACAAAAAAAACAAACAGAGGAGACAGCAAACAACAAAGAGCAACATAATAATAGAGAAAACAAAGCACCATCACAATAAACTAGCTAGTCATAGATATCAATAGTTACTAAATAATAAACGATATTGTGCAGCACGCAAGATAGACAGCGCACAGTGTGCTTTGAGGCAGCAGCCAAGAAAGCTTTAGTCCGCGTCTGTGAATACCCATGTGTACACCTGTGTGCATACCTGTGTGGATCAGCATGCTTGCATTCCAAAGGTTTCTCCATGTAATGATCTGCTAGGGAGTGTGGGGGGGCCACAGCCCCGTCCTCCAGGGTGTGAAGCGGGTATGGAGGAGATCAAAACTCCAGACATCCAGAGGCCCCCAGAACACAAGAGACCATGGAAGACCAACAGAGGGGCAGCCGCGCCACTGTTCCAGTAAGAGCTGAGGAGAGTCCCAGATGAGGGCTCGCCCAGCAGCCGCGGAGCAGAAGCCAGGGGGAGTTGCAGTGACGCGCCCGTGAGCTCCGCCGGCCCCCAGCTGTGCCTGAGTGACCGAGCCCCAGGCCGAGAGGCCGGGGGCACCCCACCTCCAAAGGGGCCCGAGCGAGCCCCAGGCCCCAGGCCCCGACAAGCGGCCGCCAAGGAGTG